TTCTCCTTCTAAGTTGGCTGGCTCTCTGTGACTGGGTGGACTCGTCACAAGTGTACTTGTATATGGTTCATCATCACTTTCATCCATAGTGAATGGATAAAAAGTGTAATTCTTCTTCGCTTCAGCAGTCCAGTCCCATGTTGCTTCTTCATCAACTACCACGTCTCGGCTGATTATCAACTTCTCTTCCACGGGATCAAACATCTTGTAACCTTTTGAGTGTTCTGAGTATCCCAGGAATATGTACTTCTTGCTTTTGTCATCCAACTTCTTTCTTCCTTGATTTGGTACGTGCACATATCCGACACTTCCGAAGACTCGGAGGTGAGAGATTGTGGTTTTCCTTCCGCTCCATGCTTCTTGGGGTGTTCGATTCCAAACACTCTTTTTTGGCGACCTGTTCAGCAGGTAGACTGCACAATCAACAGCTTCAGCCCATAGCTCCTTTGGAAGGTTCTTGCTCTTCATCATGCATCTCGCCATATTGAGTACAGTTCGATTCTTCCTTTCAACAACTCCATTTTGTTGTGGTGATCTTGGGACTGTGAGAAACCTGCGCATTCCTTGATATTCACAGAACCTTCTAAATTTCTTGAGCATAAATTCTCCCTCTCTATCTAATCTCATGGCTTTGATGTTGTGGCCACTTTTATTCTCCACGAGCATCTTTAACTTCTTGAAAGCTTCAAATGTGTCTGACTTCTGCTTCAAGAAGTATACCCATGTCTTTCTACTGTAGTCATCAATGAACAGTAGAAAATGTTTGTTCTTTCCGAACGATGTTGGGGTGATCGGTCCACAGAGATATGCATGTACAAGCTCAAGCGGTGCTTTAGCTCTTGACAGGGACTCCTTTGGAAAACTTGCCCTGAATTGCTTCCCAACTAAGCATCCTTCACACAATTGGTCTGGATGATTGATCACTGGCAGACCATGCACCATCTTCTTCTGACCGAGCAATTTTAGGCCTCCAAAATTTAGATGGCCATACCTAAGATGCCACAGCCATGTATTGTCTTTCACACACGCTTTCATGCACTTCACCATTTCAGTCTGAATGTTCACAGCGAACATTCTGTTTCTCGACATTGGGATTCTGTTTCTCTCCCTTTGATAGGAACTTTCGAGGATTCTCCAAATACGAAATTTCCTTTCGCCTATTCATCCATATCCACGAACATGCTTCTTTTACCGCACATGTGGTTGCTTGCTGCATTATCCAGATACCACATGTTGTCTCTCAGTTTTTCATCTCCTTGATGTGACAACATCAATGTGCCTTTAACTTCTTCTTCTTGCACATTGTTCGCTGTCTCCTCCACTTCTTTAGGTAGACTCCAACATTCCGATGGATAATGCCCGTATTTCGAGCAATTATAGCACTGGACGTTGGATTCATCACGACCTTCATTTGATCTCCAATTTCCTCTTCCGCGTCCACGACCACAACCTCTGCCTTTGGTGAACGTTTCATAGTTGTTCGTGGTGAAATTTCCTTCATCTCTGCTTTGATATGCTCCTCGAGCTCTTCCTCTTCCTCTGCCTCTGTAGTTGCCTCTGCATCGACCTCTGTATTGACCTCCTCCTCGGACACCTTCTTTCTCCTCAGTGGTAGCTTTTGTAGCTAACACTTGCTCTGGCGAATCTTCATTTCTTTTATTTAGCCTTTCCTCTCGTGCTTGCAATGAGCAGATAACTTCATCCACTGTCATCTTTGACACGTCTTTTGCTTCCTCCATGGCTACCACCACATAATCGAACTTCGATAATAATGACCGTAGAATTTTCTCCACCTCTTTGGTCTCTTCAATTTTCTCCGCATACTGCTTCAGTTTACTCGCGATAGACTTCACACGGGCGGTGTAATCTGAAACAGATTCACCTTCTTTCATCTTCATTGCTTCAGAATCTCCTCTGAGTGTCTGAAGTCGAACTTTTTTCATTGGTTCCATGCCTTGCATTTCCTTTTTCAAAATCTCACATACTTCATTTGCTGTGGTAGCATCTGCTATTTGATCAAACATGGATTCATCAAGACATTGATGAATGAGAGTGAGTGCTTTCTGATAACCAAGAATCCTTTGCGGGAATCTCATAACCTTTCTCAATAATATCCCAAGCATCTTGGGATCCCAGCAAGGCTCTCATACGGATGCACCAATTTTGGTAATTGGTTTTGGTAAGGTCGGGGAATTGAATACGGAAAGTGGATTTTTCGGCCATGGGAAAAACGTGATAACAAAAACACGAGATATTCTTTTCTTATGTGGAAGTTCAGACTATGCTGCAACCACAGAACATACTCAGAAATAACTCGGGCTCTGATACCACTTTGTTGGGAAAAAATTAATTTATTTCCTTATCATTCAAACTTTAATGGTGTGTTTCTGGTGGAGGAGCTCGTTTATGAGCTAGAATGGGAATGAAAAGGAGTTTGTTTATTTGGGACAAGGGAATTGAGATTGGCAGAGTGGAGAAGGAAACTTCTTTCTTTCTTAGACCAACTCCAATGCAAGCCCCCAAATTTGGGGATCTTCACCTCCAAATTTGGGGTTCATCCCCATTTTCTCTTCTTTTGCTCTAATGCTACATCCTCTATATTTGGAGATCTCCATTTTTTAAGTTTTCCATTTGCTTAAAAATGTACTTATCTAAGCCTTAATATAATTTGTTCATGTTAATTTTTGTATAGTTCGTCATCATTTTTAAATACAAATTTTCCGGTATAAATTTTTTTAATTTTGAGATCAAATTTTTGTTGACAAAAAATAATTGACCTAATTTGGGTTTACACACAACATTTGAAAATTATTGATCTAATTAAACCCCTAACTAATCCTCTAATTAAATCCCAATTAACCCTTAAAATCTTACAAAGAAAAAGAAACGCCACGTGGCGGGCTTTGGGGAGTCTCTATATTTGGGGGAACCCCCATTTCCACCCCCAAATTTGGGGATCATTTTGGAGATCTCTCCTAAATATAGAGACTCATCCATTTATAGAGGCTCCATTGGAGCCAACTTTCCCCCAAATATAGAGGCTCCCCCATTTATAGAGGCTCCATTGGAGTTAGCCTTATTACTTTTCTTCTTGTTCTGCCACACTTCAACACACGAACCAAAGCAGCCTTTTTATAGGCCTACAAACTAAAAAAAAATCTGCAGCATAATAAATATTGGCAGTTGAGAACCGCCTCTGATTGGTGGCTAGCCTTTTTTCATTTTGTTTAATCATAACAATGCAGCCACCTTTCTCTACTAACTTCCACAAATACAAACTTCCACATAAAACCACACACGTAGACATGATTCTAGGTTCACTACAAAAAAGACAGGCAGAAGTGACGAAATCCTTCTGACGACACTGATTTTTGGTTGGAAATAACCTATTTTGTGACAAAAATTTGTTGTTCTCATAAAAACGTAAAATATTTGTGACTAACATCAGTACTCGTCAATAATGCCAAAAACTTTCGCCACTAAAAATCAATTTCACAAATACGAGAAATGTCATATCACTTTTACTAATGACATTTAGACTTTTGTCACAAATACAAATTATTTATGACCAAATTGAAATAGGCGTTAGAAACAATATGTTTTTCTGACACTGAAAAGGAGGGGAAAATTCCTGAATTTGATTTTTTTAGGACACAAATTTTTCCTCAGAAAATGTGGTCAAAAATAGTATTATTTTATAGGAATTTCGCTTTCTCTCAGAAAAACAAACCTTTTTATGAGGGAATATATTTGGTTGTCGATAAAAGTTTGTTAGAAAAGTGACTGGACAAAATGGCCCTCACAAATGATTATTTCGTTGAAAAAACTTCGTGAGAAAAACACTTTCTGTGAGGAATTTATATGTCGTCAATAATATGCAAACAATGTCGTCACATTTAGAACATTATTGACAAATTTCACTTATCAGAAAAGTTTCGTTACATATGAACAAATTCTTAGTTTTAAGAGTTGAAATTAAAAATGACCTTAAGGAAAAGGTCATGGATGTACTCGGACCATGGAGCTCTTGTTCACAAAACAAAGTCCAGAATAGTAAGACTGATTACATTTTATGTTAAATTCATATTTTCGTTGAGTATTTATTCCTTACAAAAATCTTTAAGCAACAAAGAGCTCTCTGGCTTCTATGCAAATTCATTCCCTTTCTTCCTCTATAATCGAAACAAGCCTTGTTCACAAACCAAAGTCCAAAGACAATGACTTTGTCCTATAGATTTAGGCATCATATGTAAAGCAATAAAAATAATTGGCCTGCATCAATTTACATCAAAGTTCATCATTTTATTGTAGAGAACTTTGTGACACATCCCTCAATGGGGATTTTTTATATATTGAGAGCGTGAAGAGAGCCTCATTATTATTGTCACGACCGCCCCTCGAAATGCTCGTGGGATCCGTCACGCATTGCTAGGAGTCGCTATCGACCTTAGCTTGTAGTGATCGAACATTATTTTGTCCGATTCTAACATCAGGGTCAGAACCGGGACTTGGTCTGCGAAATTTTAGAGATTTGGGTTTCGGAGTACGGTTACGTGTGGGGAAGTGTATTCACACAACACAACACCCAAAATTGGTACCACTTAAATCGATAAGTTTCAATGGTTGGGTGTATTATAATTTGTGCCTTATTTACATATTTAGTTATGTAAGATTGAGTTTTTTAGGAAATTTATTTTGGTAATTGGGTGTTTATTTTTAAATAGTTTCATCATAATATGAGTATCACAAACTATTGATCATGATCTGCACATTAGTTAATAAGAAAAAATTGCTATAGTATAATGCAAGTAAGTAAGTTAGCCTAATGGCTATACATGTTGTTTGGAGGCAGTAGGAGTCAAAGTGACCCAGGTTCGAGACACAATTGTGTTAATTTTTTAAGTGTCCACGATTTTTGGGAGAGAAAGGTGGTGAGAGAGTCTAATTTAAACAAAATAGAGAGGGTAAAAGGGTCATTTTGAAAACGGGTTAAGGGGGCAGATGGAAACCCTAGCCGCTACGTTTCCCTTCATTCTCTATTTCATTGGTTTTCTTTCCAATCAAACAGAAGACCAAAGTTCTTCTTTGCTCTTTCCTAAAAAAAAAAATGATCATCTCCTTCTCTGTCTCGATCAGATCTATTTCCTTCCCACTTCTACCTCTCATCTTCTACTTCTTCCCCTATCTCATATTCTTTCTGGAAACCGAGCATAGACCCAAAAATAGCAGCGATGATGCTCCAGACAGCCCTCAAATCGACGGTAAGTCAAGATTCTAGGCTTGCATGTTTATTTTTTTTTTCTTTGGATCTACTGGTTTGAAAATGGGATCTCGATCTTTTGTTTTTAGATTTCGGTTTTGGAAGAGGGCAGAAGGGAAGGGGTACTCGTCGGCGGCAGAGGAGGTACACCACCGACGAGAAAGACGGCGAGAACTTAGATGAGTTTTTTAGCTTCCTGGGTTGTGGTTTTACACAAGGAAAAATAGAGTAAAGTGCGCGATGACAGCGGCGGCGGCCCCGCCGGGAACGAAGGGAAGATTACAGTTGTGTATCTTTCTTCATTTCTCTCCTTGAATCCCAGAAATCTCAATTGATCGCAACTCTGTGATGAAATCGACAAGTTTCGACCTCGCAGACAATGTTGACTGTAGAGATGATGGTCTAAGGTAGTAAATTTTGGGTTGCATGTTGTTTTCTTTTGATTCTCATTCTCGAGGCTTTTGATCGGATTCTAACCCCTTTGGTATTTTTATTTTCTTTTTTTGGGGTTTCAATGGAGGGGAGAAGAACAGTCGCCGGTGGTAACGAGATGCATCTCATGATGACGATGATTCAGCAAGGGCAGCGGCAGTGGGTGGGAGAGGAAGCGACAAATATTTGTTCTTTTATTTTTAAATTAATAATTTTAATTAATAATGTATTATGATTTTCTAATAAATGTATATAGTAGTATAGTAAGTTGTGAACAATAATTGTCATTGATATTAACGATAATGTCATTAATAATATTTTGTTGATGTTTTTAATATATGATAATTTATTTTATTATTGGGAAATGCATAGACAATAATTACGTTTCAGCTATAAAATGTATTTATTTATTTTATTCGTCATGAAAGTTTTCATTTATGATGTCGTTCTCTAGTGTTCCGACAAAACCATTGTGTCGGTAACAATTTCATTTCTGAGGAGTTCTCCATTCATGAGTACTTTTACTTGTCAGAAATAACAAAAGGGTATTTTGGGAACAAAAACTTTCGCCTAATTATACAACCTTTTCTAACAATAAACAAGTCATCACAAAAACATGTAAGGGTATTTCGGGAATGGAAATTCCAAAGTGTTATTAACAAAAAAAATATTTTCCTTACAAAAAAATGTTATCACAAATACTTAAACTGACAAAATAGTTTCCTTAGAAATAGTTTTTCCTCTTTCACAAAAACTTTTCGTCAATTTTTTTCCTCAAGTGTATTTCTTTTCCGACAACGATAAATTGGGTTTTGATGATAATTTATCCTCACAAATTTTTTTTATGACGCCAATTTTTTTTAGACTATTACCTACGGACCTTTACCCCACGACCCGCTAACGACAGTATTTGGTCAGAATAAACTTTTAGTGACGAGAAAGGGTCTTTTGTGACGCCAATCGTCTGGTAACATCTGCCAGTCTTTTTTGTAGTGGTTGTTCTGATTATTTTATTTTATTTTTAGGTTATTAAACTTTATTAATTAATTTCCACAATATATACATGTTGTCATAAAGTTGGCGATCCTTCGCCTGCGTTCTCCTCCACCATAGGTGTCGTCACCTACGGAAACTTGAAAGATAGGGGTGGTAATCGGTAAACCGGTATTCGGTACTACCAGATACCGGCGGTATTCGGTATTCGACGGCGTGATTTTGCATAATGTTATACCGGATAATACCCGGTAATATACCGACGACAATCCGGTATACCGAAATAGCATATATGAAATAAGGGAAAATGTGGATTCCACCGCATAGACTCCACCGCAAAACTCATGGATTCCACCGAAGAACTCATCTTGACTGTAAATCTGCGTCCCCAATCCAAAAACAGAAAGAAATCATAAACAACAGAGACAAACAAAAAAAAGGAAGAAACTGCCAACAATTCAATTGTAGAACCAATCTGCAGTTGTGAATAAATAATGCCTACCCGAAGGCAGGTCGAGAGAGAGGCTTGTTGGTGGAAGCACTAAAGGAGGAAGATGGAGAGGATTTTGGAGCGGCCTTGGTTTGGCCGCCGAATTGCGAGCGCAGGAGCGGAAAATGGATCTGTCGGCGGCGGTGCAAGCGGCCATTGTATTGCTTTTGGACGGGGAAGTAAAAGTCAAACAACCCGAAATTTTGGCTGGAGCAGGGGCTGGAACTCTGAAAGTAAGTTCAATCCGAAAGGTTTATTTTCAGCGAATTTAGAACTCACAATTCAATGACTGCAATTTTGGAAGTAAACGATCTATCCGGTATCCGGTATATCGGTTAAAACACCGGTAATCGACTATTCGGTATCCGGTATACCGTATAACTTTCGGTGTCGGTATTCGGCGACAAAATTTCAATTGCCAGTATACTGAATACCGGCTACTCGGTATCCGGTACTGATTACCACCCCTATTGGAACGTGAATGCATGCATTAAGAAAGTCTGCTACGTCTGTGCATGGGTATTCTTTTATGGAAATCTTGCTTCTGTGATTACTTTTGTAATGAAAAGATCTTTGCACATACTTAGCTAATGAAACCTTCTTAACAAAGATATACCATCATTCATCATCACATGTTCTTCTCCATCAACAAACATTACTTGCATGGCGAGCAGCCATTTCACAAAAAACATCCTTCTTCAACATGAACTTTCAAACATGTTGTCATCATTATATTACATAGATATCGGGACTCACTTTCACTTCTGTGTCTTCCTTTTCCACAGGTCACCAAACATCTTAATCCCTGAAGATCCCTTCTGTTATAAACGCACTGCTACGGATCGGGAAATCGCCGGAATCGACAAAGCAAGAATACGAAAGCGAGAATCGAAAGAACACAGACACACGATTTACGTGGTTCACTAACACGATGTGTGTTAGCTAGTCCACGGGCGAGAGAGAGCCAGTTTCACTATATCGAGGAGATTACAGATTACAGAGGAGTATGAGAAGTATTTATAGTACTTCTCCATGTGGGTCTAAACCTAATCCAATCTGACAAAGGAAACGAGACCCCCGATTACCAGTCGTAGCGGCTGATAGTCCGATTCAAGTCACATCAACAAATCTCCACCTTGACTTGAATCCTCTTTCTCTGAAATTTCTGATGTACTCTGCTCCTTCTCTCTATCTTTCTCTCTCGCCATCAATGCCCCGTAGGGCGGAGTCACCCACTCAAGACATTCAGCAAGTCCAAGTAGTGTTGGAACTTGCCATGTGGAACCGGCTTCATGAACATATCAGCAGGATTATTCGCGGTGCCAACCTTCTTCACCTTAATCCTCTTCTCTGTCCTCAAGAAATGATACCTCACGTCGATGTGCTTAGTCCTCTCATGGTGGACTTGATCCTTGGCCAAGCATATTGCACTCAAACTGTCGCAATACACCACTGCCTGATCATGATGTAGACCCAGATCACCAACCAGTCCCTTCAACCATATTCCCTCCTTAGCAGCTTCTGTCAACGCCATATACTCTGCCTCAATAGTAGACAATGTCACTGCCGACTGCAAAGTTGCCTTCCAGCTCACTACAGAACTCCCAAGAGTGAATACATAACCGGTCATCGATCTCCTCGTGTCAATATCTCCAGCGTAGTCCGAGTCTAATTCCGAAGCTAATTCCCAAGCACTCTGTATCACTTCCGAAGCTAATTCCCACATCAGGTGTACCCTTAAGGTACCGGAAGATCCTCTTCACAGCCTGCCAATGCTCCTTCCCAGGTTGTATCATAAACCTGCTGACAACACTAACAGCATGTGCAAGATCAGGTCTAGTGCATACCATAGCGTACATCAAGCTACCTACTGCACTAGCATATGGGACTCTCGACATGTACTCCTTCTCAGCCTCTGACTGCGGTGCATAAGCCGAGGATAGATGAACATTTGAAGCACTAGGAGTATTTAAGGGCTTTGCAGAAGACATGCCAAACCTCAACAGTATCTTCTGGATGTAGCTCTTCTATGACAAGAAAAGCTTCTTCTTCGACCTGTCCCTGTAAATCTCCATACCCAAGATCTTCTGAGCAACTCCCAAATCCTTCATCTCAAACTCAGCACTGAGAAGCCCCTTTAACTTCTGGATATCGGACTTTGACCTCGCAGCTATGAGCATATCATCCACATACATAACTAGATATATCATCGAACCATCCTCTGCCTTGCTGTGATATACACAACAATCATATGGACTTCTGTTGTAGCCCAACTCAAGCATGTAACTGTCAAATCTCTTGTACCACTGCCTCGGAGATTGCTTAAGTCCATACAAGGACTTCTTCAGCTTACAAACATAGTCTTCTTTTCCCGGAACCTCGAATCCTTCTGGCTGAGTCATGTAAATTTCTTCCTCCAACTCTCCATGTAGGAAAGCTGTCTTCACGTCTAGCTGCTCGAGCTCCAAGTCATAATGTGCCACTATTGCTAGTAGCACTCTAATCGAAGTATGTCTGACCACTGGTGAGAAAATCTCATTGTAGTCAACTCCTTCCCTCTACGAGAAGCCTCGTGCAACCACCCGAGCTTTAAATTTCATGCCCTCTTTAGAAGTGATTCCTTCCTTCTTCTTGTAGATCCACTTGTTTGTCACAATCTTCCTTCCCTGTGGTCGTTTGACTAGCTCCCAAGTCTGATTCCTGTCATGGGATTCCATCTCATCTCCCATTGCGGCAAGCCACTGATCAGCTTCACCACCCGAAACTGCTTCTCTATAGGACTGTGGCTCTCCTGCATCCACTTCCTCAGCAACCTGAAATGAATATGCCACCATGTCCTCGAAGCCATACCTCTGTGGAGGTACTCCTGCTGTCGCTCTCTTCGGTCTACCGGAAGCAATAGACTGTTTAGCTCGTGCACTGGACTCTGAAGTTTCTGGCTCTGCAGAGACATCCTCGTCATGTTGATCTTCTCCACCTTGGTGCTCAAACTCACTCTCATTGAGAGTTTGCAGCTCCACCTGCTTATCAACATTCCTGCTACCTTCAACATGGGGTTAAATATAGACTTCTCATCAAATATCACATTTCTACTAAGTATAACTCGATGCTCAGAAGGTGACCAGACTTGAAATCCCTTAACTCCATCTCCGTAACCCACAAATACACCCTTCTTTGCCCTTGGGTTCAACTTACCCTCATCCACATAATAATAAACAGGACACCCAAAAACTTTCAGTGAAGAGTAATCAGCAGGCTTACCATACCACACCTCATAAGGAGTCTTACACTCGATACCTGGGTGAGGTCCACGGTTGATCAGGAAGCATGCCATGTTTACTGCTTCTGCCCATAATCTTCTCTCTAGTCCAGCATTAGAGAGCATGCACCGTGCTCTCTCCAACAATGTCTGGTTCATCCTTTCTGCAACGCCATTCTGCTGGGGTGTATCTCTAACAGTCCAATGACGGGCAATCCCTTCATCTTTGCAGAATTCGTTGAACTCAGAACTGCAGAACTCCAGACCATTGTCCGTTCGCAGCTTCTTGATCTTCTTTCCAGTCTGATTCTCCACCAATGTCTTCCACTGCTTGAA